GCTGTTTTGGGGGTTTATTTTTAGAAATTTTAACATAAATACGGTGAAATTCGCAGATAAAAACTTGAAATTTTTACTGATGATAGCTATGAATAAGCCCCACTTTGTGGCTCCATTTGGGCTCAATCGGTCCAGTAGTTCCTGAGATATTGCCAATTGTTTAAATTTCGTTTTTCAGCTATATCTCCTCAATAAATGCACCGATTTCAACTTTTTTTTTTCAAAATATTCGTCTCGATGATCTCTACCTGAATCATTCATAATACATAGACCAATCACTGCTGAGTCTAGGAATATTGCCGTTAATCGGTTTTTTTGTGAAAAACGTTGTGCGCGCGATAACTCGATAAAAAATGTTAATATCGATTTGAAATTTGGTATGCTTGTAGCTTTTATGACATAGATGGATGGTATTTTGAATGGGCAAAATCGACCGAGCGGTTCGCGAGATATTCAATTTTTTGTAGAAATCCATTTTGGCAAATATCTCCTTAACTATTCGAGGGATTAAATTTTTTTTTTTTTTGAAATACTCGTCCCAATGACCTCCATCTGAAGCACCCATAATATATCGAACAATCGCTGTTGAGTCTAGAGATATTGCCGTTAATCTGTTTTTTTGCGAAAAACGTTGTGCGCGCGATAACTCGATAAAAAAGGTTGTTGTTGACTTGAAATTTGGTATGTTCGTAGCTTTCATGACATAGACGAATGGTATTTTGAATGGGCAAAATCGACCGAGCGGTTCGCGAGATATTCAATTTTTTGTGGAAACCCATTTTGGCCAATAACTCCTTTACTTCTCGAGGGATTAAATTTTTTTTTTTTTTAAATACTTGTCTCGATGACCTCCATCCAAAGCTCCAAAATGATAACATGAGATAGTATTTTTACAACGATAATTTTTTATAGATTGACAGGCATGGTGTTTGCCAATATTGGAGTGCAGAATATTAATGGGACAAGATTTTATGCTTTAGTCCTTTTCAACGGATATTTCGGAACAAGATCGAAATTAGTGAAAATATTAATTTACGACGAAGATGTAATTGAGCTTCTTACGAATCGATTCCCGAGGGATGAAGTTAGTTAGATAATTGTTTTGAGTATTTGATTGAAAGAAAAAAACATATGTCTTATCGAACTATAATTTGATTTCAATAGTTGATCCAAATTCGGAACGCTATTCCATATGAAAGAAGAAAAGTTGCACTATGGAATACCATCTGGAATGAGAATGATTTTTTTGAATTCGAATGGGACGTGTATTCATCAGCACAGATCAGTCTGTTTTGGAAAATACGAATGAAATCGAGAGAAATAATTGAATCGGAGTAAAACCACATAATTTTACATATGAAATTTTTAAGAGGACGAAATGATTTTATATACTACGGTTGAAATAATAAAAATAAAAAATAGACGATGCACTTCTTCCCTTCGGAAGCTTATAACCAATGTAATTGGTAGCAGAAAAATGAAGACTTTTGACATAACAGTGTGGTGTCACAAGTCTTCTGTCGAATAGGGTCGGTCGCCTGCTTGTTTTGTTAAAATTAAAAAAAAAATCCGAAAAATCTGCACATACATACGGACATACACACACACATTTCTTAAAAACATCATATTTTTGCGTTTCATAGCATTATACATCATTTCCAGGCAAAATTCGAAGATCGTAAAAATGATCGATTACAAAGCTTCCATTCGGAAGCAAAAACATGAAAAACCCTTCAAAATGAGCCGTCGTGGATAGCATTATCTTCAATTTGAGAGGGTCTATACGAGAAAATGTGTTCTCTTTTCAATCGTTAATTACTCAAAAAGCTCATTTTTTAAATCTGAAATTTTCTCCAAAATTTTTCAATAATCTGACCAGAACTTTAGCGCCAATTAGACAACAAAACCTTCAAACACCTTGGGTTGTTTTGGTTTGTTTTTTGCCATATTTCGGCGGTTATTAATTTTCCCAGTTAGACAAGTATTGAAAATGACCGAAAATTGCTATGATTTATGCAATTATCCCTTAAATAAGTGAATATTTAGTTAAATACTAAATAAAATGCAAATGGTGAAGGTTGGACTCATTATATCTTCTATTACTCATCTTCAGTATGATTTTGTGAGTGAAAAATTATTATTTCTCTAATTATACAATGGAAATACATTTGTCAACGCTTTATTTGTCGGTAATCGAGAAACTTACGAAAAATCGTATTTTGAACTTGTTTAGGTATAGTGTATATACTGGATTTGGATCTTTTCAAACCACTTATTTTACATATCACAGTTTCAAAAGATGCAGTCACTTCTTTGGGTGTTGAAGGATACCTAAATGAAGTTGACGGACCAGAGGATTCCATTAAACTGGCGCTAAATTCGTTAGCAGCATAAGTCTTATTCACAATAATAGCAATCCACCATTTCTCTTGATGGACAATGATAACTTCTGATTTAACTGACGTGAGTGATAATAAATCATGAGCTAATTTGAAAGTTTCATGGTGATTTGATAATGAAAACGTTTTAAGTATTCACAATATCTGTGTCCAGATAACAAAACCCGGGTAATGATGAGAACGAGTAATGAACACCACAATTCAGTATAACGAAGATACACCAGAATCCTCTGTTATCTGCCGACATTGTTCACCGATAAATATCGATCAAAGTGGAGAGTAATTGTTATACTTATTAGCAATACATTGGAATTCGACGAGTATGGATGACACGTTAGCTATATGGAAATTCCCAAATGGTATTAGACTCTTCAATTTGCTAATATTTAATTAAATATTTACTCATTTGGGGGATAATTGCATGAAAAACAGCGACTTTCGGTCAATTTCAATACTTGTCTCAGTGAAAAAATTAATAACCGCCGATCTGCGGCAAAAGATAAACTCTCATTGGCGCCAAAATTCTTGTCATTTTATTGACAATTTTTAGTAAAAAATTTCAGATTTTTTAAAGATGAGCTTTTTGAATAATTAACGATTGAAAAAAACACGTTTTCTCGTATAAAGCGCAGTCAAACTGAAGATCATGGTATATACGACGGCTCATTTTGAAGAGTTTTACATTTTCTTTGAGTGTGTCAAAGGGCGATTTGATAGCTCGAAACCCCGCTGATATTAGGGCCAATTTAAAAAAAAATCATTGAAAAAAACTCGAAATTTTCACAAAATCATAATTCTTGCAATTATCAATATTAATTTTTTTTTAAATATTAATAATTGTGCCACCTGTCTGAAAAAAACGGAGACGAAAATTCCCAGCATCGACTTTTGTAGGCTGTTGTTTTGGCGTTTTTTAAACCTTTTTTTAGAAGAATAAATCGCAAGGTTCGAATGCTCTAAATTAAAAAAGTAACAAAATAAGGTCTCATTACATAACAATGGGGAAACCTTTACAAATTTTTAATTCGAATTTTTGCAAACACTCCTAAGGGAGCACTCCGTGTCCGTCAAACGCCGTTGACAGACATTGTGAAGAAAAATATTTGTCATTAGGCCCGAAAAAACCGCTATTCCGCATTATACGCCACATTCGCCAGATAACACTTTTATCGCCTGATGACATATTATACTATTTGTGTTATAACAGCCGTATGCAAAGATTCACTGCCTTACAGCCGAAATGACAATAATACAGTTTCATGTCAATTTGAAAACACGTCATAAGGTCATGTATAAGAAATTAAATTGGTTGTTAATAACTTGTAAACTTAGAAGAATTCGAAAAAAATCAACATTACACAGTCTGACAACATTTCGACCTTGGCTCTCCTAGAGATGAAATTACCCGCATTAGAAAGATTGAATTCCACTGATTCTGAATCCGTTAACAGAATTCCTCTAGGCCTTCTAGTTTTAAAGAAAAATAATGTTACACTTCCCAAAATCACCGAACACTGTTAAATTAAAAATTTAATAAAAAAATAACGCGTGCACCAATTGGACTGAAATAAAATTCAAAGAAATGAGGAAATCGAGATTTATGAATAGACAGAAAGTTTTTTGTGATTGACACACGGAGTAATTCTCAATAAATGCAGTAATTAGGCATTAAAAATTACATTTAACCCTCAAAAAAGGATCATGGATGGAAAATCGAAGTTGCACCACCACGTGTCATTCTCAATGTCAAATCTTGAGGGCAATTCACTGAGTTCACAGTGATGGGTGAAGAAAAAATGGCCGCCAATCAGTGACAGTTCAAAAAGTAATTCTCTCAAATTTTATAATCTTTACAATCGACTACCACTATTATATAAAAAATGTCAATTAAAAGGGATAACCACCATTTTTTTCAAGATTATGTACCTCCGAATCAACGAAACGTCCCGATTAAAAGGGACAACGGCCCGTAAAACTTGGAAGTTGGACGGCCTCAAAATCATGAAATATAAAACATAGTTTACAGTGATGTGATTCAGAGATGATCTATTGAAATAAATAAGTTGATAATTATCTGACAGCAAGGATGAAAACCCTGTAACCACTTCAAAACAATATCATCACTTTTCTTCATAGACGAAATTCTTTAAGAGTGCAAACTGATCAATTTCAACCGATTTTTCTCCCCGTGGTTTTACAAAAGATATAGAAATTGGGATAAAGCAAGAGCATGTCCAACAGTATTTAAACAAAAAAAATTTATCCCCCTTCAATCTCTAGATATTGATAAGAAAACTATAGTTCAAATGAAATCGTCTGACCTCGTCCCACAACTTCACTACTGAATAAGAAAGTAAATTGCAGTCAATAAGTACAAAATAATAATCTGACAATAACGAAATACACTAATACATACACATTTCTAAAAAAAATAATACTGTACATCAGATATGTGCAATAAAGAACATGTCGAGGATACGACAAATGAAACATCAAGGCAGTAAAATACATCTAGCGAAGTGCTACTTAAAATTTGAATAACTACACCTGACGATATCAACACTAATATTACTGGGGTTGTGGGGTGGGTGGGTGGTTTACCTCTTTTCTCATGTGCGTAGTGAGAGATGTGATGGCCACCTTGGGTTGCATTAAAGATAAACAGCGAGTGACATTAATACTAGCCTATTACTCAGTTTATGATAACATGATGATAACAAAAAAATTCAGTGACAAATGTGTGTGCAGATGAGAATCGAAAATCGTGTAATGAACCTCTGTGACGTGTACTTAGCTTCTTACAGATGATTTTATTTGATTTAATTGTAAAGAAAGAAAATAATAGAGAGATGGTCGGCACGTGAAAGAAATCAAGATGCTGAAGTCATAGAAATATAATATTAAAGTAATTCGATGCATAGACTACTAAATATCTAAATATTGTCTAGATATAATCTAAATATCATCTAAATATCGATAAACATCATTGCTAATGTATGACTGATTTGGATAAATACCTGAGGGCACACGAGGTGCTAGAACATCACCAGCAGCTGCATCGGAGGCTGCTGTCATGGCTCTGGGGATTGGTGCCACCACTGGTGGATGTGTTGCCCTCCAGTAAGCCTCCAGATACTCAGCAACATGATCACATGCCTCGTCCAACTGATTCTCATCAAGAATAACATCAAACATCTCCGGTGGACACTGGGCCAACTTCTCAGCCGCCACCATTTGAACATTCAGGTGACGTGTTTGCGATTTGCCACGTGATTTGATCAGTCTCTGCAGTACTTTTGGCGATGAAATTTTCAGATAAACTATTATTGGTGCTAAACTCGTTTTAGCTAACTGTGATGGATGATTTATCGTGTCACAGTCTAAGACAACTAGCTGGAGTGTTCTTGCTAGTTCAAATATTCTTTCTATCTCAGCCTGCACCTCGGCTAGACAACTGCTTCTGCTCGTTGAACGCTCCATTATCGCTCGTTTTGTTGGATTGTTCAATAGTGACTTCTTTGCTAGCGATATGTCCGCCATTACCCTGGTTATAATGATCCTGGAATGGGGAATAAACGATTTTATTGTCAATATTGAGTTGGCAGTGATTCAGATTGAGGATTTTCAGGTCAGCGATGAATTTTACTTTTGAAAAATTTAATTTGGTTGTTTTTTTTAAATTTTGGTAATCTGGAATGTTCTTCAATTGCCATTCAGTTTTACATAGCCCTGGAGTCTTCAAAAATAATAATTGTACAATCAAGAAAATGTTGAAAACAAGCAGGGGGCAGCGAGCATGTGGCATTGAATATCTCACTCATCAATTTTATTTTTATTTTCTTTGCCATCAATAAATTGATGGTGGGCTTCCGAATGGTTTTTAGCGTAATAAAATTCGATTTCAACTTGATGTTTCGATTTTTGCATCTGCTAAAGACCGAACAACAATTTCGAGGTAAAACAAGGAGAAACCTTACGATACTTCCACAAGCGAAAACATTAATCCCGCTCAGATTGAATATCCATAATGCCACACCAAAATACTGCCTAATGATTGAAAAACTATGCTTTTTCAGGGAAATTTGAAAGTGTTTTAACAAATATAATACGCTCTATCCCTGTGATGAGCACCCATATGCTATAGAGTATCTACAGGAAAATATTAAACTTTTTGATGGAATCGTTTATTACAAAAAGGTGAATGTCTCCGAAAGCACTCCATGGATCGCGCCCATCCGAAAGATGAACCTTCAATATTATGAGAGCTATGATCGTACCACATTTCAGCTTGCTATCTTCGTTTTTGTTCACGGTATCGTGCGTAGAAGAATAAAAAGACAAAAAAAGCCGAATATTTTGAAAAAAAATCATTGAGATCGGTTGACGCGTTATTGAGATATTCAAGACATTAAGTTTACATACAAAGTTGAATATCTCCGAAACTAATTGACCGATTGAGCCATCTTCCATACCGGTCCTTGCAATGATTAGAGACAGCTCCATGCCAAATTTTAAGTCAATATCTGAATTTTTACTCAAGTTAGAGCGCGAACAAGGATTTCAAGTCAAAAAAAGAAAAATTCAAATATCTCAAAAACTTTGTATAAACGGGTGTATATGTTTTGATTGATTTAGATAGAGGATATCATACCGAATATTTTGAAAAAAAAATTATTGAATTCGGTTGGGTATTCTCCGAGATATTTGCGAGAAAAGGTTAAAAAACGAATGGCTATTGCTCAAAAACTAATGGACGGATCAAGCTGAAGTTTGGCATGGAGTTAGTCTTAAGTTATACCAATTAACTGAAAAAATTTCAAACATTTTGTAATGATTTTTCCCGTTTAATTATCAAATTTACGAAAAAATGACCACCGACTGGACAGTGTCACGCACAGACATGGTCCCCAAACTTCGTATTTTTACGTTTCAGCCCATTCTGCATCATTTCCAAGCAAAATTAGAAAATGTGAAAATCGAACGATTGCAATGCTTCCATTCGGAAGCAAAAAACTGAACATTTTCAAAGAGAATTTTTGAATAATATTGGGAAATGAACTCAATACGGAGGAAATTGCAAATTAATAAACTACAGTAATTAATGGCTGTTCAATCGTTATTTGTCTCAGTAGCCAATGCCTGTCAGATCATTAGTTGCTATGATAAATTATACATTTACAATTTTCTCTCTATCGGGCTTATTTCGTAATCTTTATTAAAAATGCTCTTTGAAAATGTTCAGTTTTTTTTCCACTTTTTTTGATGGTGCAATCATAATTTTTAGGGACGCCTACGTGATGTGAAATCTAGTGGAAATTGTGATATATTTTAGATTATGAAGATGAAAAAACAATCGAGATAATGTTCGAAAGATAATCCATCCGGGCCTTAATTTTTGAACTTTTCTAATATAAGATATGTCAAATTTTAGTGAATTGGCTTTGACGAAAATCTGATCCATGAGTGTTTCAGATTCAGAATTTTACAATTATTAAATCTGGAAATTAAATTGCATGACAAGGATTCGAGTGAAATAATTTAGGGGGTTAGAATTCTTTCAATGTTCATTCATTCAATGTTATTTGAATTACATTTTGTAATTCAAATAACTAATAATCTAAGTTATTTCAATTGTCGGAAATCATATTTTTTTGGCATGAAAGCTATTTCTGATAGAATTTTGAATGTCAACAAATTTGTTATGTAAATCATATTGAAAATATGATTTTTAGACTAAAGGAATTGATTCTTTATAAATGATCCATGAGCAAAGGTCGTAATTTTTAAAGGTTAAATAATAAAATCATCATGATATGCTCGAAACCTCGAGGTAGATTGGGCTTAAATAGAAGTTCTGATGGTCAACTATAAATGTAGATAAGAATTCCAGTGAAAAAGAGGGCCAAAGTACTTGCAAACGCGTAAATGCACTTTAGTTGAATTTGTTCTTTTCAGGTATTTAAATTCCCAGATGATTGTTCAATGAATGTATTAATGCAGAATTACGCTCATTGGTTTGAAAGTTCGATTATTCTGTTATATTAGAACGCTGCTATCTTAAGATGTGTTCTTTCAGTAAGTAATTGATGAAGAGGGAGTGTTGACCTGTGCGGTCATTAGCGGACTCGAAGATTGAAGAATAATGAGAAAAGACATCTCATCTAATAAACCAAAAGAAACCCTACTTTTGGTCCTTCTATGTAGGGCCATCTGCAGGGGCATGTTCTATTTTTAAAGAACACTACTATGCGAATCAAATACCAAAAAAATCAAACGCCAATAAAAAATGTTTCAATATACAAAATGAGTTGAGTTATATTCAAAACTCATGGAAATTCTGACCAAGAAATCATCTATAGGCAGATTCTTCAGGAGAATTGTACGATTTTAATTTAAGAAATTATCAGAGCAATGTTTTTTAATTTCATTACATTCAACTGTGCTTTATGAACTAAGTGCTATTACCCCCTCAAGTATAACATCCATATGTAATTTTTTCCCAAGCGAAAAAGTATGACTTTTTTTCAAAATTGAATAACTCAAAAACTATAACAAATAATGCAATTAGACCAAGGTCTTTGGGAAGCTGAATTTTGTAGCATTAAATTACATATGCGTTTCATAATTTTTCATTCTTCAGAAGTTATCGAATCTCAGTGATATGGAGCCCACATCAGCTTTGGTAACAGAAGGGCCTTGCACGTGAGGGGTTAATCGCATTTCGAAGGAAATTTGAATGCAAGCACTGACCCACCCCCATGGAAAAATATATAAAAAATATATATAATATAGGCCAATTTAATATATTCTTCGTATGTATATAAGATTGATATAAAATACATATGAAAGATACATAAATTGCTATTTCATAGGGGAGAGTCGGGCAAAATGAAACAGTCGAAAAACGGCTGTTTGACGCAATTCAAGCAAAAAAAAATTTTTTATTCAATTTTTTTTTTATTAACTTTTACTTGAATTGCGTCAAATAGTCATTTTTCGGCTGTTTCATTCTGCCCCACTCTCCCCTATAACTTTTATATATGAATCAGGCCACTTCCATATGTAAAATATATAATTCTCAGAACATATATTTTTTGGTATGGGTAATCCCCGAGGTTTAAATTTCACTATTGTCATTTTTTTACTTACCGTCCTTCAAATTTGTGCTTAAGGTAGTCAAAAAGCGCCTTCTGCATCATATCCGTTACTTCGTAGCCCTTCAGTGATGGTCCAACCAGTACAACCGGCCTCATTGAAGGAACTACATCGTAGGGAGTTGCAGTTTCCTGTTGAATAAATTCCTCATTATTTATCGCCATCTCAGCCGATTGAAAATGCATTAGAAGTAAAAATTGATTTATATCATAGAGGCTACTCACGTAGGACTGTAACGTTGACCATGACCCAGAGTGATTGAAAAAATACAAAAAGAATTGGGGTTCGTCAATTAGTTCATAAGCGAGGGAAAAAAGCATTAAAAGTGCAGTGCACTGGGTTTATCACTGAGTATATTGGATACGGGGGACTATGTGTATTACCGGCTTTTTGAAGAAATTCTTCCGCTTCTCTTTGGCTGGTGGTGTCGTGAGTGTCGTCTTGCCCGGCCTGGCATTGCCCACACTATCGCTATCATCTCCTTATGGAAATAATCAAGAACAATGTAAATCACTTGACTGAACTATCAGGGGAATGGGAGGATATACGGGGCTCCTTCATGCCTTCTACTTGAGTTCGAATAGAGTTAGAGGATCTGTACTATTGATGCTACACAGAGAAAAATAGTTTCAAGTTTCTAGTTTCTAGTAAAAATCCGTTGATTTTATAAATCTGTCGAGATAGAATCTAGCGAGTAAATACATATACTGGCAATAAATTTATCTTGAAAATCAGACGAAAAGTATTAATTCTCAGTCGGTTTTGCTCAATTCTAGCACAATTGGGCTTGAATTGACCCACTTTTTCGGTTAATTTGATGAAATTTTGGTTCCTTAATACAGAACATTTGGATTCGCAAATGATGATAATTTTTGTTTTTTAATAAAATTATTTTTATGATTCTAAACTAATCTACCCACGTTGCAATAATATTTTAGAACTAGGGGGCTAAGCTCCCTGCTCGCTTCGCTCGCCAACCCCCACGATCCGTATTCTGACCCTTGTAACCCTTAATCTGATCCTCGTGACCCCCATTGTGACCCTCGTTATACCTCTCGTAACCCTTATTTCGACCCTTAATGTGACTCTCATTTGAATCTGACCCTCATTATAACCTTCGTGGCCCTTATTTTGACCCACGTGACCCTTATTTCCTGACCCTTGGTTTTTGAGCCCCATATCCCTTATATGGACCATCATTCTGACCCTTAATCTGAGCCTTGAGACTCTTAATTTCAAGTACCGGTTTTTTATCACCAGAAATCGATTTGGATTTTTATAATATATATCTTGGGAAGGTGTATGGGGATAAACAACACAAATTAAATAACAAACCTCGTATATTTAAACCGTATTTAATACATAATTAATTTAAATATTGAGACCCGATTAAATTCACGTGTTAACTGTTTTGGAGCCGGCGACGACGGGGAGCGATGGCACTGTCACGTGATGTGACGTCAGAACTGAGATCGCGCAGTGGGACAACTTTGCGATCCCCAACAACCCGAGTGGAAATTGCTTCAGGCCCACCTGAAGCACGATCAGAACTTGATCAGGTTTTTGTAAGGTTCGACTGATCCGGTGATTCCTGATGAGAACTTGACCAATTTCTAATCCAGCAGATCGGATCCGAAAAACTACAGGCGGGTTCAGATCAAGTTCTGATCAGGTAGACATGATCAAATGATACCTGATGAGAACCTGACCAAGTTTTGATCCAGTAGATTGGATCCGAAAAACTGCAGGATGATTCAGATCAAGTTCTGATCAGGTAGGCACGCTCTCACCCTGGGGTCGGCTGCCTGACGCCAATTTGATCAAATTCGGATTTGATGTCTGTGATCGGCATTTGTACGGGGTCAATTGAAGAGAAATCGATCAGATTCAGAACCGGTCCACCTGACATTAATTTTAATAAGTTTTTCGGATAATTTAATTAACCATTATTATACTATTCAAATTAATTTTTGTCAACCATTATCAATAATTATTTTCAATCTTTAAAAAGGATCATTATACTATAATGAAAATAAATTAAATTAAGTTAATTTAATTAATCAATTTCATTAACAGACTTCTCCAATGTATAGAAAGGAGGGATGATGATGCCGTAAATACGTATCAGAGGAGTATCAAACTTACACGCAAATGATCTTGAGAAAAAAAAATCACCAAATGTCTATTTATTTATTAGAGTTATTGTTATTATCATTATTATTATTCATTAATGAAATAAATAAAAAATTTATTGAACATATTTTATCTCTGAGAATACACACGCACATCCGCGAGATCACGAATAATCGTAAATTCAACGAATACCCCGATACAAATCATATAGGCAATGTACAGTTTACTCAATAGTAATAGCGCGATAGCGTAGTGGTCAGGGCATAGGATTAGTAATCATAGGGTCCCCGATTCGATCCCCAGCATCCGTAAAAAAATAAGCTTTTTCAGAGGTAATAACAGTAGAGGTTCATTAAGAGAGGCGGCCTACGGTGAAAGAATTGGATCATCTTTTGTTTTGGATTAATTATCGTTGATAATTGTTATTGATACTGACAGACAGGTCATCCGGTTTTCATACAGTTGACTTGATCAAGTTCGGATCCATTAGTCTGATCCAAAATTGATCAAAACCTGTCCGGAATTTCCACTCGGGTAATAGAGAGATATCCTCAAAATTTATAGTACCATCTCAATCTAATTTATCACTCTTTTGTCATTAAATGTAACAATCAGTGTTCAATTAATCGTGATATTTATCCATTTTCTTACTTTATGAATTCAAAGGTTCTTAATTTAAGAATTCAACTCGATTATTTGTTCTTGCCTTGTTAGCAAACCCTAGGAATTTCGTGAACAATCGAGTACCAATTTCCGTGGAAAGTGATATTAAAATTGATTTACGAGAAAGACATATGAAATTCAAAATTTCAACTGAAATGAATTTTATTTTCAATTCAACATGAATATTTCGTATCGAATTTACTTTAATTTCCAATTAATTGAAAATTCAAGAACAGATTCACCTGAACTTTTCAAATTTTCACTTATTTTCACGGAATAATTGAAGTGAGAAACATACTTTTCATTCATTTTTTTTACCAAATTGTAATTTTTCAATGACGAGATTTCACTGAAGCTTCATTGAAGAATTCACTTCTTGGAAAATTCTGAGATTTGTATCAGGAATTTCAGACGAAAATTTCCAACATTTTGATTTAAAAAGGTGACTTTCCTTATTTTACAAGCTCATCGGTTCAAATTTTAGGAGAATTTTTGAAATATTTTTTTGAAATATTTTTTCTCTGAAATCGAGTAGGAACTTTCTAATTCTGAGGGTAATGCGTGTTAAAACCACGAAATCCTTAAAATCAACAACTTCCTTCTGAAAACTAGAAACAGATTTTTCTTTGTATGCAAGCACTGAGTTGAGTTTGGGTCCCAGATGAAAAAAAGTTAATGTTTATTTTAATCCAAGTTCTCAATGTGAAGAGGCATATTGACAATTGATAATGGACATTACCTGGTGTCGGTGGAGTTGATCCACGTGATGGCATACCACTCTCCCCCAAATTACCCGAGGAGCCACCTCTTGTTGAATATAAACCCTTCGTCCCACGTGCTGCACTCGCTTGGACCCTGAGGGCTTCTAATTTAACCGGCGATGGAATAAACCCAACGTCCGCACTTTCTTTCACGAGCCTGCCAATCCACCAGTTGTTGTCGTACTTCTCCTGTAATGGATCACAGTGATAGAAAAATTTAGAGCAATTCTCAAGGAAGAACTAATTCCCAAAATTCCAATTTCTGTGTTTCATTGCTGAGAAATGATTCAATTCTCGTGAATTTATGTGAAAAATCAACTTGTAATTTTTCCAATTAACTTGAAAATTTTATTTTTGATTGAAATTTTCATCTTTGTTAGAAGAAAAAACCTCAACTTTACAGATTTTTCAATACCACCAGAAATTAAAAATGGAGCATTTCATTTCAAATATCATTCATATTGACTGCTCTGAGAATTGAAGCTCATATATTGTGGAATATCGTTGAACATAAGGAAGCTACTAGTGTAAATCTGGTAAAACTCTTTTTCGTAAAGCGAAGTGAAGTCTACACGGAGAGAAAAAAACATGTTCTCTTTCAACCAAAACCATCTCAAATTGAAAATTACCGATATAGAAATCGCATGCTTTCATTTGACCATGCGAGATTTTCAAATATAAATGATCGCTCTTCTTCCCACTACGAAATATTTGGCTCAAAGGGCAGATCATTTACGCGAGATGTTGCCTTTTCAGGGTGAAAATATCTCATAAAGTGAAGTAATCAACATAGTACAATAGAGTGCACTAAAAAAATTCGGGCTGAAATTTCCGATCCACTTTCCGGAAATGTTTATCGCATTTTATATGCACTGTAATTGAAAGGAATTTCGTCATTGAAAATTCAAAATGTCATGGAAAAAGCAATGAAAACTATCAATTTCAGTTCAATTATTCTCTGACAATTGATAGAAATCAGGATGTTCCGGTGAATGTTCTGAAGTCATCGTACTTCAGTACTAAATATTCATAATTTCATTTAAAATTCAAATAGATTTAAGAATTTTCATCTTAATGCTTTTCAAAATTTGAAATTTCACTGAATTTTCAGTGAAATCTGAAATTTAAGGATTTTTTTCTCTTCAATCCCATCCAATATCACTCTCCTAAACATTACTAATTGACTGTCCATGAAATTTCAAATTTTTTCTAGCAGTGGGCAAGGACATAAATTTATTGTTCGATATAAAATATTTTCGCATAAATTACAGAATTGCTATCATGTTATCATTACTATTCTATTCAAGGATTGATTGCTGATTTTTGAATATTGGATAGCCGAAACGAAAAACTATTCTTCCTTGTTTCGCATAGAATGGACACTTTTGGGAAGCAAAATATGTATGGTCGTATAAAGTAAAGAATAGGTATGCTGATAGTAAAGATGGAAGGATATGGTTGGGGCTAACGAGGTTTCTTAACTACTAGGGGAGGGTAGGGTAAAATAGAGCCCTGATGTTAAAGTAATAATTTTCATTAAAAAATGTCTTCTTTCGATTTGAACACTCTTGTTTACATTGGCGTATTACAAACAATAAATTTGTTGGAAAAAGTATGGGTCAAATGGTGAAAGTAGAATTGTACACTGATAGAAATGGTGGAATGATTCAGTTGCACCAAACGAGGCTTCTTAACTGTTACCGCGATTCGTTAATAGTTAATGAATCGCGGTAATAGTTAAACAGCCTCGTTTGGTTCGACTAAACCGTTCTATCAGTGTAGGATTGCTTCGCGAGGATCGTACTTGGCAAAGATCAGATCGCGCGAACTTTAAAATCGTAACAGTCATACCTCACGAGGAAGAAACGTTGCATGTGTTGTTTCTATTATAAGTCAATTGATCGGTTTGTAGATCAATCCTTTTTAATGAAGGGCTTGAATCATTCGCAAAGAGAAAATAATCCTTATTTCAAGCAACTCGTCATTCTAGAATATAACGAACGGAAATTCTTTCACTTTGAAACAAGTGAACAACTCACTTCTTTCAAGTGAATTTTTTCCTTAAAACAACGGAGAGAAGTTTTAGTTATTAGTACTTCATACACTAGATTCAATAGACATCTGTCCTTGATTCAAGGGATTTCTTATGCTGGGATCAAGAACATTCTGATTCTCATTCCTTGAATCATTTATCACTAGATGCAAGTGATAAATATTCTTGATTCAAGTGATTATAGGGACACTTATCTCTAACTGTTTTTTCCCTTGGACCAAGTGTTTTTTACTTCCGAATGGAAGCTTTGTATTTTTCCCTTGAAACAAGGATTTTTTTTCTTTGTATTGAATGTTAGTCTTAAGTCTCCAGAATCTAATTTAAAATTTACACAAAAGGCTGAATGATCCTGACCAGACAAATAGAAGCGGTTGGTAGCAAGGGAGGCACTGGAATTTGACTTTTTTTTTCCGTCGTAAAATTTCATTTATTGAGGATAAGAAGTCAGGGAGACATAGATAGCTTAAGCGGACGGCGGTAAATCATTAATGCAATCTCTCGTTATTAATTGATCCTTTTTAAAGATTCAAATTGAGGAATGTGTTAATAATAGTTGATAATGAATTGAAAAAAAAAAGATTTTCTCTTCGCAGAAACCTACAAACTCAGAAGATTTTTGATGATCAAAAACGCGAGGTTAAAATATGATGATTTGTGGTCGTCCGCTGATGCAGGTGTTTGTGTTTCCATGACTTCTCATCCTAAATAAATGAAATTTTGAGACAAAAAAAATGTCGGATTCCTTCAAGTGTCTCCCTTACTGATAAACTCTTCCATTTGACTGACGGTCATTCAACTTTTTATTCATCTTCTTGTATGGGTGTACGTTTAACCCTTGAGGCTTAATACTAACGTTCAATGATTCAGATCCTTCATCACAACAATTGATCTACAAACGGATCAATTGACCTGATAATGGAGATATAGTCCTCGCCACAAAAGAAGGATCGTGGCTGGGTACCCCCACTCTCTCGACTTTAGCTACGACTCGACGTCCCCAACCACTCAGATCCAAGTTCCTTCTTTCCTGGCGGCGATTATACCATTGCAACATTTGAACCTCGCGAAGCATGACTGTTGTGACCTTTCAACCTCGCGAAGTCTGGGCTTTGAGACGTATGACTCTTGGAAGGCAATCCTACAATTCTGCTTTCACAATTTGACCCATACTCTTTCCTCCAAATTCAATCTTTGTAATACCTCAATGTAAACGGGGATGGGCAAATGGAGCGAATGAATTTTTTAAATAAAAATTATTACCATCACATCAGGGGTCCTTTTGCCCTGCGGTCCATTTTACCCTACCCTCCCCTAATACCATGCATTAATTATTAGCAAATGATGTTAAGAGGCAATGGAACTTACCATCGAAGTAGAAATTGGATTCCAAGTTTTTTCGTTGTCGGAGTACTATTCAGCAAAACCTAAATTCTTACATTATAGATACCACGATTATTGATAATGTAAGAATTTGGGTTTTGTTGAATAGTCGTTTGACGACGAAAAAACTTGGAATCCAGTTTCTACTCCGATGGTATGTTCTACAGCCTCTTAATAGTTGAGAAGTCTTGTTAAGGTATTTGGTGCGAAAAAGTAAATAATGACATTCATCTGGAATCCATATAGAATGTTTATAACTACAATTGAATTGTCTATGAATTTTCCTAGATTTTTTTCAGATTTTCTTTTCAAGTTATTAACGATTGAAGTCACTTCTTATACATAGGCTCTTATGGAAATTTTTCTGTTTAGCGCGAAACTGCTTTACCATCTGAGCTGATAATATAGTTTCAGAATTCCAGATGAATGTCATTATTTACCTTTTTCGCACGAAACACCTTAACAGTAACTAAATCCTTATAACAGTATTGTGCTAAAATAAATATTTTTGTCACAAGCCCGAAAAAAACTTCTCTTTCCAGGCTGAAAATTGCAGACCAAGGTGAAGCTGAGAATTACAATCACACAAATCAGAAAAGTTTTTTCGGCCATGTCTATCAACGGCGTTTGACGGACACGAAATTTCCGACTCTGTAAAACAAAGGAGTTGTGCCCACGTGCGAAGTTACCAGCAGAGTCGAAAGCGAAGATGGTAAGCGTGTAGCCACGACTCCTTTATCCTCACCCCTATCCTGATAGAAAGGATTAATTATTATTAACGAATGGATTTGGTTGGATACGAGGGTCTATTCGGTCTCATCAAATGTTCATTCGATAATAGTTAACAAATACACATTTGACTCGATTTTCACCTTTCAAGTGAATCATTCATTAACTATTAAGGGGGCACCCTCGTGAAACTTGAAAGTCTTCGGTGGATCTAGGGACTTATTGAGCGACTGTAGTTATATGACGGGATATGTTAAAAAGTGGGAAAAGTCCCGGACACAATCGGTTTTGCCCCGTACTTCCACGGAAAACGTTGTTTTTCATGTTTCTACCTTTAAAGCGTTCCTCGTTCCCCAATTTTGATTCGATTTGATTTTTTTTTTTTTTCAAAATGTCCGTGAGACTCCCAAGAACAAAGTTAAGCTTCCGTTTTACGATCCATTATATAGATCATGAGAAAATCAATAAAAACCAAAAAAAAAAGAAAAAACCGACAAAAAGGGTTTTCCCTTTTGATTGTCTTTGCATTATGCCTGAAAAGTCTATATTTTGAATAGTTGACGATCAGAAGGGAAACCCCCTTTTTTAAATTTTTTTCGTTTATTTTTTATTTTTTCATGATCTATATAATGGATCGTAAAACGGAAGCTTAACTTTATTCTTTGGAGTCTCACGAACATTTTGAAAAAAAAATCAAATTGGATCAAAATTGGGGAACGAGGAACGTTTTAAAGGTAGAAACACGAAAAACGACGTTTTCCGTGGAAGTACGGGGCAAAACGGATTGGGTCCGGGATTTTTCCCACTTTTTAACATATCCCATCATATAACTAAAGTCGCTCAATAAGTTCCCAGATCCACCAAAGACTTTCAAATTTCACCGGGGTCCCCCCTTAACGAATATTCATTTGGTCATATTCAACTCTACCATTCGATAATAGTTAACGAATCTCGTTTGGAATGAATGAATCAGTCTATCAGTATAGGTTAGAAATATACTATTTTCACACACCTGCACGGAAAGTTTGTACTTTGCTCCCCGATGAGCGGGAGGAAATTGAGTACTTCCCGCCCTCGAGTGGAAAGTACTCAATTTCCACCCGTTCATCAAAGAGCAAAATACGAACTTTCCTTTGCAGGCGCGTTAAAAAATAGCATGTGCCCCTCGGGCGGGAAAACATGACTTTCCGTCCTTGATGCACAATATACTAATTATCACGAGATCGAATGCGCGTTCGGCGCGTATATTAATACGATATTTCAATCATATGATTCCTCGCTCACGTTGCCAATATAATATGATGTTGACGTTATCATCAGTAACCTCAACATCATCAACACAATCCGTATTATCATCATCATGCATGCGATTTCTCATTCAAACACTAATGAATAAACGTGTGACATCTACTTTTTATAAAAGAGATAACGGCCGTAGACTACGCGTCCGTGAAAGGCTACCTTACGGTCGGAATGATAAAAATCAGATTTCTTGCTTACATAAAAATATCTCATAATTATTTTTATTCTTAGCAATTTTTTGGTTATAATTTTCTCAAATTCAAATAACACTTCTTTGAGACCATGTTTTTTATTCACTCAGTGTAATTCCAAAAAGTATATCATAAATTTCATATTTTCCCTCACATTCAATAAAACTTATCGAGAACATGGGATGAAGTAAAATTGACTAATGTCGTCTACCATCAATGTGATTTTCGTTCCTGAAAAAATCAATTAACAAAAAACGGTTGATGCTGATGAAATTACCTTGATGTGAAGAAAGTCCCGAACGTCGAAGCTGACGGCAGAGCCGTGTACCGGTGAGTCATCGTCAACTGAGCCATCGTAGCTGACATTTGTCCTGACAGCGAATGCCACAGGTTTCGTCTGAAATCCACAAAAAATCACCACTATCCCAGCTTGTCACAGAAACAAAACTCCCACGAAAAAAAAATCGTTCAAAGGACGTGTTTTCTGCTCCATTAAAATTGACTCGAGGAGATTTCCATTGGGAAATAACACCCACACCCTTCTCCCCCGAGTCAATTCCGCCAATCCCCCGAGTGAATAACAATGAATATTCCATTCTGACATTTCCCCACCTGCAGTGAACCCATCTCCGAAACAAAAGATTTATTTACACCCCCCGCAACAACAATTCCCCAGTACTTCCAATAGCCCTTCAATAATCATTTTGAATCACACCGTCAGCGTAAAATCAAACTTTCTTCAATACAATTTCACCGGAGCTCGACTTACACAGAGCAATAGTATATTGTGTTACTAAATCGTAAAGTCTTTGTTGCTTTGCACAGAGTGCGTAAAGTAAATTTTGAGTGCATCGAACGATATTTTTCCCCAGTGAATTTCCTTTTTACGAGTTTGGGAAGGGACAGTGCCAATCCCCGAACGAGGAAAAGTGAAGTTCAGTGCGGAAAAATATTCTTTGTCACTCTAGGTCGAAAACAACTATTACGCACGACCTTTGAATTTCACGCACGTCGTGCGGAAAACAAATACTTTACGCCCACTAAACCACTCCGAGACGTGAGTTTTTGTAGGCAAATTTTGCAAAACTTGCATAAAACCTCATATAAAAAAATAGCAGAAAAATTATTGCACTAGTAGGGCGAAATCAGCTTATTTTGAGTAACCCAAAAAATTCCCGTGCTAGCACTTGAATTTTTAATTAATACTAGGGGGACTAAGCCTCCTGCTCGCTCCGCTCACCAACTCCCTCTTTGGGAAAAAATATTTGGGAAAAAATTCATTCCGAAAAAATTCCTTCGGAAATAATTTTTTCATGCAATATTTCCTCTTGTAAAAATGTCTCATGCAATAATTATTTCCCAGAACCATGGGATAAACTTGTTTTGGACAGCATAATCTCTCCGAAAATCCCATAGTTGACTAAAAAATTTTTTAACCATTTTAATACTTCCATTTTTTTTCTTCCAAAGTAATTATTTGCCAAGTAATTTTTTCCAAAATAATTAGTTCTGAAGGAATTTTTTCCAAATGAATTTTAGGCGGACACCTCCTTATTCTGACCCTCATTATACCCCTCGTGACCCTTATTTTGACCCTCAATTTTGGAGTATTAATTTCGTGTGCCAAATTTTCATCGCCAGAAGTCGATTTTGATTTTGATAATATAGAAGACATATAGAGACCCTTTTGTTGACCCTTAGTTTTTGACCCCCATGACCCTTTTTTGGCCCTTAATCTGACGCTTGGACCCTTATTTGGATTGTTAATCCGGCCCTCATTATAACCCTCGTGACTCTTATTTCGATATTTTGGTTTTTGATCCCCATCACCCTATTTGGACTCTTACTTTGACCCTTCTCACCCATAATTTGATCTTTGTGACCCTTATTTAGATCTTTAATCTGACCCTTGTGACCCTTATTTGCACCCTTAATCTGACCCTTGTGACCCTTATTCTACAATAGCGACCCTTATTTTGACCCTTAAGACCCTTATTGCGACCCTCGTGACTCTTATTCTAACCCTTATGCCCCTTATTCTGACCCTCATTACCCTTATTTTGACCCTTGTGACCTTGATTTTTGAAATCTTAATTTCGAGTACTAAATCTTCATCACCAGAAGTCGATTTAGATTTTTATAATATAGAGAGAAAACAACGCAATAATGCCTTACCCTGGCTTTTTCAAGCTGACTGAGCGCCTGTCTCTCCTTCTCCCTCCTCAAACTCTCCTTCTCCTCGTCCAGGGACAGATCCGAGCTCGGTTGTGAGTAGTTTGAGTCAGCCGAGCCCTGCAGAACAATAAAATACCGGCCTCATTTCACCTGTCATATCAATAAAACACGGAAACATTGTTGATTCATACGCAACCCACATTTATCCAGCCCCAACCCCAACGATGAATAGCAAATGTGGAGAAAATGAAAAAGAAGAAAACATTACGGGTTGAGTTTTTAATTACTATTAACGAACGAAGGAGAATAAAAAAGTAAAAGTTGAAAATTGTTATGGGGACGTCTGCACGCTCTGTCGAAGGGGATGGGAGGCGTCTCGGAGGTCTCGAGGGTAACGGTATCCGTGGCAACGGCCTCGACTCACCCTGCTTCACCCAGAAAGTCTTTTCCGTCATGCCAAATGCCAAGACACGAGTCATGCGTATATTAATAATTACTTCATTACATTGACAATAACAAACTATTGACAATGAAAAATTAATCGAGTTTATAATAACAAAGCTCTTTGATTCGAGGTATATCGATGCGTCTACACGGTTGAACCATTGCTCACTCAGTTGCTCTTCATTATGCCTCTGGAGCTCCAATTTACTGGAATGAGTATCCAGGTCATGGGTGATCATCAAGTACACGAGTGCTTGTAATAATCATTACCACCACATTAATTGATCTTTCGAATCATCTTGTTGGTTAAGGCCCCACGAGCATATATATATATATATATAGGTATATTAAAAGCGGGTAAACTTTGCGCCACTCTCACGGGATAATGGATGGACAGAATTGGATAAAACTTACGTCAAAAAATTTGTTTTTTTCGTTGGCTGCGGTTGAAATGGTTTCGGATGTTCCCTGATGCAAAAATTATTGATAAAATAATTAATAAAATTTTGAGGTGAGTTTGGCAGTTTGCGGGAGCCACGTTGTATGATATAAACATACAAGTGACACAATTCAGGGCAGTCGATAAATCGATCGATTGTTATTAATTGAACTTATCGACTGATGTAACATTATTTTACTTACGAGAGAGTGAGTAATTTTTTAAACTTCATGTGTGACACACTTGACACCACGAAATTATGATTTGTCATTTTGAAATCTGTGACATATGAAAAATAGCCAAGCCATTCATGAAATCTGCAGATGAACCAGAACGAGAATTTCTCAATCCATAAAATTATCTCTTTACTCTCATCGCTTCACCCTTATACGTGGAAAAATCATAATTTCGTGGTGTCAAGTGTGCCACACATGAAGTTTAAAAAATTACTCACTCTCTCGTAAGTAAAATAATGTTACATCAGTCGATAAGTTCAATCAATAACAATCGATCGATTTATCGACTGCCCTGAATTGTGTCACTTGTATGTTTATATCATACAACGTGGCTGCCGCAAACTGTCAAACTCACCTCAAAATTTTATTAATTATTTTATCAATAATTTTTGCGTCAGGGAACATCCGAAACCATTTCAACCGCAGCCAACGAAAAAAACAAATTTTTTGACGTAAGTTTTATCCAATTCTGTCCATCCATTATCCCGTGAGAGTGGCGCAAAGTTTACCCGCTTTTATATACCTATATATATATGCTCGTGGGGCCTTAAATACCTGTGTAAATAGCTTGTTGTAGCCAGAATTGTGCTGATTGTAACCTATCATTGCCAAACTAGCCGATACGCAGTCAACGGTCGTCTGCGCAGCTCCCTGAGTTTATTTATCCCGTGATTTAATTAATGTATCACTGAATTAACACATGCCATTGTGCACAGTTCAAAGGTAAGAATGAACAAGTTTTTACTGACGTTTGTGCGATATTTTATCATGTTGAAATATGAATCATCGGGGATTATTGTACACTGCCTCGACATCGCCCGACATTTCATTCACTGATGAGAGAGAACAGCTTGTATCACAGACACGAATGTACCGCATTGCGCTGTTTTCGTATATATTTTGTTTTTCCGATTATGTGTATATATGTTGTGGTCTGATGGAGAAGTTCAACTGCATTGTATCATCTGTGGCCCCTTGTGCTTGCAGGAGCCCACCTGAGCCCCTCGTTCTCTACGGCATGAGGATGTGGAATTTTTTACGCTTTCTTTTGCAGCCCATCCAAATTTGAATATTTATTCGTTCAATTCACTGATCAAGAGGTTAATGGAGTCATCATTCTTGACGAATAACTCAGCTCAGTGACTCAAAAATCCACAACACGTTGAGAGCTCAGAACACTCGAGACAATCCAAATAAATAAACCGAGAGTGAACACAAATAATGAACACTAAGTGTTTATTTTTCTCCTGGAAGATACCGGGATCCATCCACACGCGCTAATACCAACAATTTTGTTAAAGTTGTCACTAATTCTTCTAGTAAAAAACCGAAATGACTAATGCAAAGTGGGTAAGCCCCACTGGAGTTGTACGTAGAGCGAGACAGATACAAAACTGTTTGTTCGTGAAATGGGAGATGAGTAAAACGGATAACGTTAACACAGCGCCGACGTGACACTACTATTGGGGTTGGTTGCGCAGACGCACATGTGCCGTATCCTCGTGTGTCGTTGATTGAATCACCGACCTCTTGTTTTGCCCCGGCTAGATACCAGACTCGCCCTGTGACTCTCACGTCGTTTCCTCGTGTCTGACTTCCCCGATTATTCAACTTTCATTCGTAATTTTTATTCCCCTCCCCAGGAATTAATTCTCAATTATGCATTCTCCATTTTTGTTTACACATGGCCAATGCCATCAGTCAGTATTAGATCAATCGGTGGGAATTTTTGAACGTTGCTAACCGGCACGCGCACACGTCACGAGTGTTGCGACACGCCGATTCATTGGCCGAGTGACTCATTTTCAATTGCACGTGCTTTGGATTTTCTTTTAAATTTTTTTTTCTCCTGGGGATTTTGTGGAGGGGATGCGGGGCAGATGAAACTAGTGATGATAGGGATGCCTGCGAGGGCGATGTGATCACGGGAATGATGCTTTTTCGTAACTGATAAGCTCACGGTATACGTGGCCCTCCTTTTACCACCACGATTACTGGATATTCGACTTTTCCCGTGTCTGCCGCAAGGTGGTAGCAGCGCGAGCAACCCCCCAACGCCATCCACTATATCGATCCAATCCAACTTTATACCCTGTCTTTGCTTAGCCACCCCTTAGGCACCATTCACTCACTCACTTGCTCATACATAGCTCTGTACCACCCACTTCACCCCATGGTGGTGGGCCAAAAGTATTACAATTCCGTGTGTAGTCGGTCACGATGCTGCGGCCACTGCACCCAAACGTCTCTCGCCGGTTGATTTTCTACTTTTCTTTATTGATTTTTCATTGTTTTTTCGTGAGGAGTGCGAGGATTGAGGGGGGGGGAGAGTAAGGAGAACGGTCGTTGATTGATGGGGTTTGATTTGAGGGATTTTGTTTTACCTTTCTCCTGCCGAACGGCTTGTACTGACGCCCCATCGGTCGACGCATGTGATGCGCCATTTTTTTCCTTCTTGAGGAACTAATTTACTCGGTTTTTATTTATGCTCAATCCGGGCACTTTGTTTTTTTCGATATCTCGGGGGCGGAAATAATCGATTGGGAGTTTATATTTATCACTAGGGTCAGCTGTTCATCTCCATTTTGGGGGGGTTATTAGTTGATTGTTTGAGGGGTAATTGATTAGGTAATTCGTTTCAATCTTTTCTTCATTTTTAGCGGAAGAGTTTTGAGATTTTCCGGCGGGTTTGATTTTTTTTTCTATTATTGTTTTTGGCACGTCACGTGGATCCTAAACGGAAAGCACTTGAGCATCTCGATCAGCTGATTTGGAGAAGTTTGAAATCTTTATGACGGGTCAAGGGGGAACGGTTTTTCAAGCTTCCGGGAGAATTTATTTAGTGATTAATTCAATTTCACGTTAAAAATTCATGTAACACTAATTTTTAAGCTCAACAGGCACAACGAGCGACTTGGTACTGTCTAGCCTCTCGGTAAGACCGATGATTTTGGAACGCAACGCAGCCTCATCCGCTATAAATAAACTCTCGGCACTACCACGCTGCCAGCAATCGGTCCTCATCACCTCCCTCTCTGTTTTTTCATTCTCACTTTGTCTCACTGTCTTGAAATTTTTTTTTTTGGGGGTTCCACGTACGAGGATTTGACGGATTAGACGTCTGCGACCTTCACGTCGAATCGGCGGCCGTTACAATGATTTTTAACAATTCGAGACGATTTATTCAATCGGAGAGGTTTTTAATTTGCAATTTTATTGACGCACCAAACACCGGATGATCTACCAATCTGCCAAGTTTTATTATAGTTGCGGAGGATTGTCATCAACTTATAAGGTGACAAATTAAAAATTCACGCATTGACGTCAAGGCATAGTTCTATACCGACATTTTCTTGTCAAAATAACCTACACGCAAAAAAATAATACCTAATTATTTCGAAGGTCTTAAAATAAGATTTTCCATTGTCTTAATTTGAACCCTGACCGTCATAAGTTGAGAATTTCAAGTCTCAATTTCAGACTTGGGGATGTTAATTTAAGCCTTCTGAAAGTCTCACGTTAAGACTTTCGAAGGTCTCAAGTTGAAACGCTCAGAGACTCAAATTGAGACTTGAATCCCTCAAGTTAAGACTTTCGAAACTTACCCTGAATTTTTTTCCAGTTGAGTTCTGAAAATATCAACTTGAGACATCGGAAAGTTTCAACTTGAGACATTTGAAAATTCCAATTGGAAACTTTACAAGTCTCAATTTCAGATCATAAGTCTCAAAGTGAAGCTCGTTTGTAGGTGTATTACATGCGATGGAGTCCTTTCATTTTTTGACACATGTGATGTTTTTCATTAATCGTATTTCATGAAAAAAAATATTCTTCTTTCCCTTCACTCGTAGCGAAACACACATAATCCATCAGACAAAATTTCAAACCAGCAGTCGGAACGAAGTACCGACAAAACGAATACGAAAAGTACTCTGTGCGCGGTACAGAGTATTTTCCAGATGGAACTTTCTTCCAAAAGGTTGTTTCATTTACTTGTA